GAAGATGAGGATGAGATCAGATCCTAGCAGTGTCCAGCCTACAGCAAACTGGTAGAGGCGATTGATGGTGACATCATCACAGGAGAGCCTGGAGACAGACATATTGGCACAGATACAGTTCTCAATATTTCCCCCACAATAATTGAGTTGGGATGATAGAATGGGGATAGGCACTGTTAAAATACCATTTCTGGCCAAAATAAAAACAATTTATAGCAGCCTTGGCTATAAATTGGTCAGTGATGATGGATGGGTACCTCAGTGGGTGGCAGATGGCTACATAGCGGTCATAGGCCATGACCATGAATGCGCAGGACTCCATAGAAAGGAAGCAATTCATGATGTACATCTGGAGAAAGCAGGCATAGAAGCTGATGGACTTGAGGTCAAACCAAAAGATGGCTAGGACCTTGAGAATGACGGTGAGGCAAACAACAATGTCCAGCAGAGAGAGGAGGCTGAGCAGGTAGTACATGGGCTCATGCAGAGAGGTCTCCATTCGGATGGTGATCAGGAGAATACTATTGGCTCCCATGGCCAGGAGGAAGAGGATGCTGAGGGGCAGGGTCAACCAGAACTTCCAGCTGGAGGACCTGACAAAACAATTCAGGAGGAAGTCTGAAACCTCAATGGAGATGGTGCCATTTTGGTGTGCTGTCATATTTAATCATATATCTACAGCTTTCTTTTCATGATCTGTAAAATTAGGAAAAAAGTTAGCTAGTGACTGAAGACACATGAATTTAGAACAATTTGCTTCATCTATGTGAAATTTGCGAATCCTAAAATGTCTTCCAGAGCATGTGAATTCACCTGTCTATCCTTTGTGCTCTGATACTGACACATTCCTGTCACTTTAAGAAGTATAGAGGACTTAGGAAATATGGTTTATTTATACATGTTTGATTCATTCAAGGTTTATTTTTAATAGAATTGTTATGTTTTTGCAGAATATAAAGAGAAGGGAAAAATTGCTTAAGAACTCCTTTGTGACAGGTGAGTCTCTAAATTTGTACTTATAAATTTCTTCCTTTTTGTTTTGTCTTTTTTTTTTTTTAAATGACCACATAGACCACCATGTGATCATTTAACTATAACAATATGTTCAGATAAGTACTGGAACCTGGCACAAATAGAGACTCGAATACATGTCCTTAGTTCTCCATGCCACCCCCATTCTGAGTTTTCAAATGGAATTTGGCTTAATTACATTTAAAAAAAAATGATACCCTGAAAGTAAAGTTATTTAATTTTCATTTTGCCTGAAAAGTTTTTAATTCAATAGGTATGGATTCTGGCAAATAATTGCTCCCTCCCTTATACATCTTCATATTTGTAGTATTCTTAGCTTCTGGTAGAAACAATATTAAAAGGAGCATAAGCAATTTCCCATAGGTATGTGAAAGCAATACCTGTCATTGAAGAAGATGAAGTTGATTGTTCTGATTGTAATAGTGTAAGGGTGATGAAGACTACCTTTGAAGTTTTTATCCTCTCTATTTTTCTTTACATCTTCAACTAATGATCGAGCTTCTATCTAGTAGTTCTATGTTTTGCCTTGGTGGAGTCACCCACAGTGCATTGGAGATACTGGAATTGCAGGATAAAAACCCATAGAAAAATAACATCCAGTCTTGAGTTGTTGACCAAAGGACCTTCTAATGTCCTGGGCACTATATTCATTGAACTCTGCCTATCTGTCATTTTTTTCTCATTAGATACATTCACTTTTAAGTTTGAAGCATAAAGTAATACTTCTTGCTCAGCCCAGACCTTGCTACAATGACCCACAACATGTACAACCTCAGGCTGCCAAATTGAAATACTCCCCTAAACACCACTTTCATCATTTAGGTTTTGTAATTTGATCTTTGCTCATTGCATCTTTTGATCCTACTCTCTGCAAAATTTTGACATTTAGCCCTTACAAGTCAGATCCCAAACCTTACCATTTCCAAGAAGCTTTTCTACTTCAGGAGTGTCAGAGTAATCTTAGAAAGAATTAGGGAGTCATTGAATGGAAGGAGGGAAAATCTTGAAATGAGCTTTGGAGGGTACAGCCACATGGAAGAAATGGTAACTCAGACATGAGTGTTTATGGAGAAGCCAGAGGAAGAAGTAGGTTTTCTTTGTCTCCTGAAGAACTTTGGGATAATTATTTCTAGCACCAGGATAAAATTTCTGAGTACAACTTACGTTGATTATTTTATCTGTTCTTTCCACTCACTGACTCTTCCTTTCTCCTCTTTCCTCTGGAATGTTCCTACATGTTCTTCAATCTGCAATTCATCCAATAAGCATCGAACTACCTATTCAACCCAAGAAGTAAAGCATCTGAGACTGTGTATGTCCTTATTCCCTCCGTTTCAATCTTGGATTGCAATCAGAGCTAGGCAATGGCATCACTAGGGCTGAGGACCTAGAGCTAATGACTACTGGTTCCAGGTAGGGACAGGTTGAAGAAGCCCATGAAGCTGAAAGGCAATGACAAAAGCAGTGACCCTGCAAGACAAGCTTTTTCCCAGGCTGCAGGACAGGCCCCCAGCATAGCTCTATGGAAGCTGTGTTTGAACTGGAGGGTTTGTTAAGGACCATCTAACTCTATAAACACACACAGATTTGTAAGAAATCTCTCCCAAGTATTGTATCAGACATCATTGATCTGAACCAACCAGGGACAAATACCTCTATGATCCTATGATCTGTGCATTATTTTCTGGTTTTGGTGGAAGTAGCTTTTAAAAATTCTTTAGACTGAGCTGAAATCTGAGGAACTACTTTCTGACTCTCACTGTCCTCAATTTCTGAAGTTATAGATTATTTTAATTTCTACACCATGATTCAAGCATTTGTGGACAGATTCTTTGCCCTAAATCTCCTAAATTTTCATTTTCATAGATGAAAACCCTGTATTTTCTAGTTGGAGGTCCAGATGGTATACTTCTCCAACCCCTCTGCCCATTAATCTCCTATGGAAAATTCCTGCTTCTCTGCATTTCTGGCACCACCCAGTGAAAGATCCTAAAAGGCAAAAGGATGGCAAAAGGGAAGGTCTCAGAGCACAAGTTCTCACATGTGCCTCCTGACCTGAGACAGGATACAGTCTCTACTACCCCATTATGAGACTAATTCATCAGTACTGACTCAGGAATGGAAAGGAGCACAGATCTGACTGAGGAAAAAGGTCCCCCTCCCCCTGCCTCCCATGTTCTGGCTAATATTGGTATAACTGCATCTCAGGCACCCTCTAACCAGACTCATCTACAGAGGATGTGGAGCATGGGATTCACTGATATTGGAGTTCTGGTTAGTTCCTGAAGTATCTGGGGGTAGTTATAACTCCAGAGCCTCAGGGACTTTGTCCTCTGGGAACTCTCCATCCCTAATTCTTTGGGCCCAAAAGGTCCTTCTGGAAAAGAAGGCAAGCAGGTGTGAGAAGAAAATGATCTTCTTTCTCTCTAAAAGCAAGGAGCACTGAGATCATGACCTGAGCTGAAATCAAGAGTCAGACATATAACTGACTGAGCTACCCAGGCACCCTGATCTGATGTTATTCTTTGTTTTCACTCTACACTAAATCTTAAACATCTTTCCATGTTGCTCTGTGAAAGTCCACTTCATTCTTTTTGACTGTTGTTCAATTCCCATTATGTACAATTCCCTCTTTATATAGGTAGGCAACACTCAAGTGACCTGTAATTAATTGTTATTAAAATAATGTTGCTGTCAATATTCTTGTATGCTTCTCTTTATAGACCTATAATAGGTATATATGGAGGATTTTTTTTTCAGCTATAACATAAAAATATTTATTTTTCACTAGGGATTATAAAATTTCTCTCCAAAATATTTAAAAATCTCACTGGAAATTCCTAAATTTTATTTATTTTTCACATTCCTTTGCACCATTTGATGCTATGTTTTTTTTTTTTTTTTTAAACCTGGATTTCTCCTGATAAGTGAGCATTGTTCATATACTGACTGGCCATTTGTGGTTTTCATGTGGTGAATTATGTGTTGACATCCTTTACCTGTTTTTTCTATTAATTTTTGTTTTTCTTGCGTATTTGCAAAATCTCCATGAATATTTTATTTTATTATTTTATTTTTTTTCTTATTAATGTTTTGGTTTAAGTAGTCTTTCAGCTAATGTATTTTCAAAATCATGACCCAAAGATCAAGAGTCCTATGCTCTATGGACTGAGCCAGCCAGGTGCCCATCTATGCATATTTTAAATATTAGAGCCCCATTGTTGGCTAGATATTGCTAGTGTCTCCTCTAGTCTGTTATATAACTCTCAAATTTAGTGTCTGCTGTCCATAATTCAATGGACATCTTTCAATTTGATCAAGTCAAACTCTATTTTTCTTTCTCTTTTTTTCCCCAAAATTTTATTTAAATTCAATTTAGTTAACATACAGTGTATTATTAGTTTGGGGGATAGAAGTTAGTGATTCATCAGTCACATATAACATCTAGGGCTCATTACATCAAGTGCCCTCCTTAATACCCATCACCCAATTACCCCATCCCCCTACCAACCTCCACTCCAGCAATCCCGTTTGTTTCCTATAGTTAAGAGTCTCTTATGGTTTGCTTCCCTCTCTGTTTTTATCTTATTTTTCCTTCCCTTCTGTTATGTTCATCTGTTTTGTTTCTTAAATTCCACATATGAGTGAAATCATATGGAGTAATCAGAAGCCACTACCAAAAAAAAAAAACAAAAAAAACCAAACCCAGCCAAAATGAAACCCAAGAATAAGATTTATAAAGTACAAAAATAAAAACAAACAAAACCCACAACCCCCCCCCCCCAAAAAACCCACAAAAATGGGGGGGTGAAGGGAAGGTGGCTATAATCTCTCTATGTGGATGAGGAGGAGTGTTTCAGCTCTTCCTGGGTGTATTTTGTTCTCTTTGTTAGCGAACACTACTTCTCAGAGATACAGGGAAATTAAAACTGGTGTATATATTAAGGTAGTATTGAGTAGGGAAAAAAGGACTACAGTGAAGCTTATATCTATATATATATATATATAAAGAAAAAAGAAGTATATGTGTGAAAAAGTTCAAGTTAAAAAGTTACCATGGAATATGTTGTATTAAGCATCTGGTTGAAATGATAAGTAGGTAAATTTCTCCAAAGAAGATATACAAATGGCTAACAGACACATGAAAAAATGTTCATCATCATTAGCCATCAGGGAAATACAAATCAAAACCACATTGAGATACCACCTCACACCAGTTAGAATGGCAAAAATTGACAAGGCAAGAAACAACAAATACTGGAGAGGTTGTGGGGAAAGGGGAACCCTCTTACACTGTTGGTGGGAATGCAAGTTGGTACAGCCACTTTGGAAAACAGTGTGGAGTTTCCTCAAAAATTAAAAAATAGAGCTACCCTATGACTGAGCAATTGCACTACTGGGTATTTACCCCCAAAATACAGATGTAGTGAAAAGAAGGGCCATATGCACCCCAATGTTCATAGCAGCAATGTCCGCAATAGCCAAACTGTGGAAAGAGCTGAGATACCCTTCAACAGACAAATGGATAAAGAAAATGTGGTCCATATATACAATGGAGTATTACTTAGCCATCAGAAATGATGAATACCCAACTTTTGCATCAACATGAATTGGACTGGAGGAGATTAT